ACTCAAATCAATACTGTATAAAAATGACAATAAAGGTGCAGTCTATATAAAACATTTAAAACAGTAGATAACAACTCAATGTATTTAAAAATACAATAATAACTCTTATTCAAGAGATTCTCTAATCGACAACCATCACTATGAGCTATGTGATGATACATCGTCTCGCCCACGCTTCCAAAACTGTTCTATACCTTGTAGGCGTATAAGACATCCTCAACTAAGTGGATCCACTAAGCTATGCTTAAAAAGCGATAAGTAATCATCTAAAAAGTTTGACCCTTTCTACCCACGTTAGCTACATGGTTTATGAGGACTTTGAGTTGTTTGAACTCGTCCCCATATTGGTGCTCAATACTACTCCCAATAATATAACTCAGATCATATGTTTAACAACATTTCCTCATCCTCAAACTTTGAGATTATTACTCAAAATATTCTCTTAAAAGAGATTATACTCAAAACTCCTCATGAACTCATTTGGAAATCGAGGTTTCCTCTCATTTTAAATGTAAAAACATTTACTCTTGGGAATACGTAGTTCCTATATATTCATTTTGAAAAATGAAACTTAACTCTCCTCATACCTATACTCAAGTACTCAAGTCTTAGAACATGTTTTAAAGTTTGTAAAAGATTTCTCAAATGACTCAAAAGAACTCCCTCAAACTCTACTCTTTACTCGATCTTGAATTTGAATTATGAATTCAAGAGTTATGATTCATGATATGAAAGATCTCGTGATGATTAAATGTGATTTAGAATAGTAAAATAATAAAGGGAATGAAAGTACACTTTGAGAGAACTCAAACGGGGCAAATGACGGAAAAAGGACGGAACAGTGCCCTGGCGTACTGAGTGGCGGGGAGGTGCCAACCCCTAAACTTCAGAGGCACAGTTCTAGCGCACTGCTGGCGCGACGCGCCAGCCCCTGCCCAGAAATTTCTGATGAATTTTGCTTTCTCAATTTTTGGCCATAATTCACCTAGAATCGAATGGTTTCTTCCAAACCTTCTTAGATTCGTTTACCCAACTTAATTACATAATAATATACTCGAAAACCATCAAGAACAAAGCTCATTAACAAGATCCTACCCCTCAAGAACTCAACCTAATTCAAGAATGAAGAACAACACCTCAAGAATTTCATCAAGAACCTCAATATACTGAATCTTATGGATGAATTTGAAAGTGAAACTCATGGTTGGCGTGTGGGTGAACGAACCCAACACTATGAAAACTTACATACCTTGATTTGGCGAAACAACTCATCTCTAAACCCTAAGCGTGATTTTTAATTATGAAAACTAATTTCAATCAGTTTAGACCCCTATTTGGGTAACCAAAACGAGTTGGGTTGATGGGGTAAGGAAAATACCAAAAGACCCCTCATTAATTTGGGTAAATTTCTTTAACTGGACAGGATGAACTCAAATGGGCATATCTCCCTTATCTGAACTCGTATTTTAGAAAACTCGGTGGCGTTGGAAAAATGATTTAGAGATTTTTCATTTGATATCTTATGGGCCACCTAACTCATCTTGTGTTAAAAGTTATGGTCATTTGAAGTTGATCCAAAACTCACAATTGGAGACTAACTTTCCCAAATCTCAATTTAGCTATTTTCAAATTAGCGCTTTCTAAATTTAGCTCTTTCTAAGATGGGATGTTACAATATTTAGATTTAGACAAGAGCAAGCTTCAAAGTTCGAACTATAGACACCACAATCAATTTTTCAAAGTAACCTAAAGAGCTAAATTCCCTAAAATCAGTTCATTAAAATAACATGATAATCAAACAAGAAACCTTTTTTATAATAAGATTATGCAATGAAGACATCCACCCATTTTCAGTTCTCCGAATCGTGATTTCGTGGAGGAAATGAAACGGATTGACACCGCGTGGCCCATCTGGAAGCTCTGCTTGCACGTTGGTTAGTACAATTTTGGAAAGAAATGGTGAATATACGTCGTTCTTGGTCGATTTGTAGGTTCTTGAGCTTCTTTTTGTTGAAGGAGAAGAAGTGGAGAAAGGGGGCGCCTTGGCGTTGTCACTGAAATTGGTTCAAAAAAGTTGGACAGATAGATATTGGGTCCAATAGGTTCTAATTGAATACAAACTTGATACAATTTAGTTCTAATTTGACAAAATGGAAGCGAAGACAAGTTAAATACTTTTTGATTTATTATCTAATTATTTGAAAATAAGACTAATTATATCTTTAAATGGTAATTTAATTAATTTAAGGAAAACGAAATATGTACTTAATTTAAACTCTACTTTTCGAGATAATTTCTAAATTAAATTCATATATAAATATATAAAAGTATATAATTTTTTTTCTGAAAAATAACAAAATTACTTAGAAAATGATTTAGTATATTTTTGGATTTAGTAATGACAACTATGCCAAATTGTTTGAAATAGAAGAGATCAATAATTAATTATGTTATGGCGGGACAAAAGTGGATATCAACAATATGTGCAGAGTGCGTTTTAATGTTGGGACTTGGGAGAAAGGCTTTGTGTTTATTCTCAATATGAGTCAGACATTTTTACGTTTTGGATAATAAAACACTATTCTATCAAAGAATCATGGACGAAATTGTTTAATCTACAAAATATCATGTTTTTTTCCAGTCATACCGAAATATAGGTCTTGAGATGGGGAAGTGCTGCCCTGCTGAACGTTGGAACCATATTTCTTATGGTTTTTAGGATATCCAAAAGACCATTTGGATTACATCAATCTGGTACAATTGTGAACATTTACAGAAAGTTTGTTCCTTCCAAAACTAATTATTTAATATTTTCTTTTACGAAGAAAATAATTATATTAATACTTAATTTGCATCACTACAAAGAAGTCAATTTTTTACTTTAATGGTAATCATGTCACAACCCCTTTATAGTTAGTATTTATTATGTATGAATGAGTCACTTTTATTTAATTTAATGGTAATCACTAATCATGTCACCATCTCTTTATATGTTTTCATTTCATAAATTAAACTCTCTCGTGCATTTTGTTGTAACTTTTGCTGGTAACATAAACAAAATAGAGATACACTTATAATAACAAAAGAACATTTCAAGATTCAAAATTTCCAAGCATCTTAATCATTCGAAAAATAACCAAAATTTCCAAAAATCATCTTATTAGCCCAATGTAACACCTCAAAAATTGGAAAGTTGAAAGGAAAGGAAAAGTTTAGATTTTTGACACCGAAGCAGTGACTATGAGTCCTATATCCGGACCATAGAAAGTCTTGTGAGCCGCAGAAGGTAAATCGTAGAGTCTAGTTAAGTTTTTGGAAAATTCATGTTCATGAAATTTGACCTACGAGTAGCTAGGATGAGCCATAGAAATTTTGATGGGCTGTAGATGTCACTCGTAGAAGTGATTCAGACTAAGTAGATTTTTGGACTTGAACTTGGGTTCTACTGACCGTAGAGACTGGACGACGGGTCATAGATTGGTTTCGTGGGAAGTAGAAGAAATTTTGGATTTCTGAAGTTGGTTCTACGGTTGATCAGTATGGGTCGTAGGTCCGTCCAACAATTATTTCTTAAGGGTATTTGGATCTTTTCCTATGCATTTGATGCCTATACTATGTCATTTTGATCTTATTTTTAAGTCCTATAACTACCTCTCTATTTCTAAATATACCCAAACCCTCTCATCCTCTCAATTCCCAAATCTCATCCAAGTTCATCACCTCAAATTCTCTCAAGCTTCAAGGAAGAAAACTAGGGTTCAAGCTTCAGTTCTCATTTTTCCTCCATTGCTTTTCAGCTTAGATCATCAGAGATTTCACCATTGAATTTCATTCATCCAATGGGTCCCAAAGGATTTCTAAGTTTTCAATTCAATTTCACCTAAATTGCTTAGGGTTTCATGTGATCTCCATGAGTCTTAATTGATATTAATTTAATTGTTCAATTTCAATCTTCCCATGCATATTTTAATTAAATTATATGATTTCTAGTGAATTTCTGTAAGACCCATGCATTATTCATAATTTTGACTATGCTCTTATGAAGATACTAGTTTTGGAAACGTGTTTTGCACGTTTATCCCAAAATATTTTTTTGAATTTTTTATTGCAAATGAAATATTATCCCCTTCAAATTTATTAATATTTACTAAAAAAAATTTAATCATTTTACGATAGAGAGTACATATATCTTTCTAATAGAAAGAATACAATCCTAATTATAAAATTGACTAAAAGTGCATAAAGTAAATTAACTAATTAGTGTACAAAAATAATATTCAAATGAGGGTACTAAAATACAATATTCTAGGATAATGTATACAAAGTAACAAACCACCGTAAATTTTCTCAATAATAATAACAACAAAACAATAGGATTTAAGGCAAGGGAAATAATCGACAAATATAATTACAGAGAAACCATGGAAGGTCATACCTTCTTTCACACCACTCTCTCCGCAACCAACCTCACATCTACAAACCGAAGGACGAGAAGCGACTAGGATGGTAGTACGTAGACTCTTTTAATGTTGAATTGAAGTATTAAGCCCAAAGAACTCATAAAAATTCCAGCATATCATTAACATGAAGAACATCTGAATTTATACAAGAAAAAGATAAATAGCAGCCACTTACAACGTGCATTGAAATTGAATAAGAAATGTCCCACTAGTCAACCATGAAAGGGCAACTAACTTCAGATATTTAAGAAACTAACTTTGACCAAGTCTTTTGCTAGAAAACAGGAAAGCAGTAAATTGAAATAAGTAAAAAAACACTAAAAATAATAAGGTGGAAAAAATGCTAATTGTGTAACACTCATCCTTGGCATTTTTATGACAAACATCAATTCTTTGCCTCAGATCTTCAAACCTTTCCTTTGGCAATGACTTAGTGAAAATGTCATCTAGTTGGTTCTCAGATGAAAAATGAACAAGCAACACTTAATTAGATTGTTGGACTGCCCTAATAAAATGAAACTTGATCTTAATATGCTTAGTTCAACCATGAAACACTGGATTTCTTGAGATTGAAACTTTTGAATTGTAGTCACACGTGATCTTGCTAGCTTCTGTTTGTTCATGGCTCAAGTCCTTCAACATCTTCCATACCTCGATAGCTTGATTCATAGTAGATGGAGCAACTATGTACTCAGTTTCTACTGTTGATTTAGTTGTAGTTTCTTGTTTCCTAAAGCTCCAAATAAAACAACTCGTCCCCACACAGAAAAGATATCCATAGGTGCTTTTGGAATTATCAACTCTACCACCCCAATCACTATTAGAGTACTCAACCATGTTCATAGTTAGTTCAACAGATACTAGGAAGAAAGTTCCAAACTTGTTGGTTCTTTTAATATACCTTAACACTCTTTTAGTCGTTGTGAAGTGTGTGTCTCTAGATGAATGTATAAGCCTAGAGAGCAAACTTACAACAAATAGAATGTCAGGTCTGCTTGTGGTTAGATATAGAAGACTGCCAATTAATCTTCTATACATACTATCATCCACTTTTTCGGAATCCGCATCCTTGCCAAGCTTCACACCAATAGAGATTACAGTACGCACAGGTTTGCGGTCATGCATTTTGAAACTGTTTAGAATATCCAAAATGTATTTCTACTGGCATATGGAAAATTTCATCACTGAACTGCAACACTTCCATGCCAAGGAAGTACTTCATGACTCCAAGATCAATCATTTCAATGATTTTCTCCATTTCATCCTTGAACCTTTAGATTTGTTCAATTTTACTTCTTGTCACAAGCATGTCATCCACATAAATTGAGACAATTTAGGACTCACCGCCAGCGAATTTCACATACAAATTAGCTTCACTTTGACTTCTACTAAAGCCAAGTTGGATGAGATGATTGTCCATATTTTCGTACCATTCTTTTGGAGCTTGTTTTAGGCTATACAAGGCCTTCGTTAAGAGCTAACTGTGATCCTCTTTACCATGAACTGAGAAACCATCAGATTGATCTGCATAGATCTCTTCAGCAAGCAAACCATTCAAAAAAGTCGATTTGACATCAAGCTGATGAATCTGCCAGGAACTATAAGACGCAAATGCAAGAATAAGTTTGATTGTGTCATACCTTACTATTGGAGCAAATATTTCCTGCTAATCAACACCATATTGTTATGCATATCCTTTGCCATCAATCTAGCCTTATGTTTGCAAATTGAGCCATCAAGATTGAGTTTTGTCTTGAAAATCCATTTTACACCAATTACTTTGTGATTTCTAAGTTTGTCAACAAGTTGTCAGGTTTCATTCTTCTCGATCATGTCGAGTTCATCTTGCATATCTCTCCTCCATGCCAAATTACACCGGTGATAGACATCTTTTAAAGTTCGAGTTCCCCTCAATGGTACATCATCCACTAGTTCATCTTTTGGAAGTTGAGGCTGCTCTTTTGAAAATAAATCAGAATAAGAGGTCTTCTAATTTTTCCAATCCCAACCAGCTGCTTCATTAAACTTCATTTCTCAGCTGAGAATTAACTTTTCTATTTTCAAACAGAAAATCCTTTATCCTTTGGATGAACTATTGCCCATAAATAAGCCCTTATGGGTCTTGTTGTCTAACTTATTCCTCTTTGTTTCTAAAACTCGATAATAACATATACACCCAAAGATTCTAAGATGGTGTATTGATTGTTTGTTCCCACACCAAGCTTCATATAGATTTATGTCCTGCAAGGCCTTAGTAGGCAATCAGTTCATCAAATATATGGAGGTATTGGCTGCCTCCACCTAAAACTGATTTAGGATCTTTCTTTCGAGCAAAAGACACCAGACCATCTCCATTACTGTCGTGTTCATCCTTTCAGACATACCATTTTGTTGTGGAGTGCATCGTAATGTCAATTGGCGTTCAATACTTGTGCATGGTAAGAGGATAGTTGAGTAATTATCTCAAACCAGAGAAGGAGTAATGTTTTCATACATTGAGTAAAGGGAAATATTATTGGGAGTAGTATTGACCACCGATATGAGGAAGAGTTTAGACAACTCACAGCCTCCATAAACCATGTCTTGCCAACATGGGTATATGATCATACTTTTTAGATGAATCTTTAGCCCCTTCGAGCATTGCTTAGTGGATCCACTTAGTTGAGGTTTTTTATATCCCGGAATGATATAGGACAGTTCTGGCGGCATGGACATGACGGTGTATCATCATTTAGCTCATAGTGATGGTTGTCTGTTAGAGAATCTTCCAATAGAGTTAAAAGTGTATTTTTTTTATACATCACTTATTATGCTAAAGTTTAGAGAATGAGAAAGTATTTTTTGTAAAGTTTTAATGATTTCACTTCCTTATTTCTTTAGATTCATCTGAGTATATATCTACATCTATTGCAACCCTGTCTTTCAGTTGTTTGCTATTTAGCTTACATGCTCGTACATTCAATGTACTCATGTCATTCGACCTACATCTTTTATGATGCAGATATAGGTGTTCAGGATCATCAACATGTGTTTCGTTGAGATCACTTAGCGCTTCAAACAACTTTGGTGAGCCTCTTTGCTTTCCGGAGGATTTCACAATTTAATTTCATGTTGTTGTTGAGTTGTTGTGGGTTTTGCCCTGACTTATATCCTAGTATTAGAGGCTTCATATATAGTTAGAATTGATGAGTCTCTCAGTATTTCCCTTTGTTTGAGACGTTTTGAGATTGTTGCAAATTATTATTGTTGTTGCACTTAAGTATTTTCAGACTGTTGAGTTAAGCATTTACTTGAGTTTGAATGTTCTAAATTCTATTTTTAAAGCTTCTTTATTCTTGAGTAAGTCTTCCAGTATATAGTCAGCTAGGTCAAGGGTTCGCTTGGGGATCAAAAATGATTCTCGAGTGCCGGCCACGTTCACTACAACAAATATGATATATAGCTACGAAACTATTAGCTACGACATGAAATTCGTCACCAATGGTTTACCTTTTGTGACAAAAATTATATTTCGTATTTAAATACATGAAGCACATACTTTTAAGGACGAAACATAAAATTTCGTAGCAAAGTTTTGTCCACTAAAATTTCCCACCAAAAAATAAGTTGGCGCCATTTATTGAGTACTATTAGTGATGAATTTAAAGTTCTCGGTGACACATTATTTTGTCACTAACTATGTACCCATTCTATGAAGAATCCTATTTTGTCCTAAAATTAATTAAATTTTGGACACGAAATTTTTTTGTCACAAAAAGTATGTTGATACAATAGTGACAAATCAGAATTTGTGGTTAATCATTGTGTAATTTAGCAACAAAATTTCAAATTTAATTGTGACCTTAGTTTTTGTCACTAATAGTTCAAGCAATTAGTGACGATTATATAATTGTCTCTATTTAACCTATAATTTAATCACAATAAAATTTTGTCACAAAAAAAATGATTAAATGTCTATGACTTAAATTTTTTAGTTAATTAATAAAATGATTGGATACAAAAAAAAATTGTGATTATAAATTAAAATATCATGAATAATAGACACATTTTATTCAAATATAGTAAAAATCAAATTTTGTCCGTCCATAAACATTAACCATACACACAATTTTTAGTGAAAATCTGAAGTTATATTCTAGACAAGCGTCATACCAATATTATGTAATTAAAAAAATATATTTTAACACCAAAAAAGTTAGAAGCAAAGTTCCCAAATCATCAAAAGCCTCGATAAGTTTGCAAATATTTTATCACTAGATACTAGAGCCAAAGCACCGGCCCAATATATATTACTCTATATATTTCAATTTATGTGGTGCAAATAGAATTAAAAGACCTCATCAAATTTTGATATGATTTTTAAATATTTTAAAATGTTATTACTGTAATTTATAGTAATTTTAACGTAATTTTTAAATAATATGTTACTCACTTTGTCCTAATTTACGTGGCACATGAGAAACTTTGAGAGCAACCATATTTTAATATGATTTTAAAATATTTTAAGTTGTTAATTATTGTGATTTATAATGTTTTTAAGTAATGTAATTTTTAAATAAATGTGTTACACTCTGTGTCACAATTTATGTTGCACATGAGAAATTTTGAGAATTAACAAAATTATAATATGTTTTTTTAAAAAAGAAAAGAAAGTAATATATATATATATATATATATATATATATATATATATATATATATAAGTTGTTAATTATTGTAATTTATATTAAATCTTAACCTAATATTCAAATAATATATTTTATCCCTTCTGTATTTCGAGAGTTGATCTAAATTTTGATCTGTTTTTTTAATATTTTATTTTTTTAATTATTATAATTTATAGTATTATTTTTTTAGTAATTTATAACTATAAAACATACTAAAAAGGGAAATAAGACAAATATATTTAAACATATAAATTATTGAATATAAATAGAGGAGAAGGGTAGTAATTTATAAATGCATAACATACTAAAAAGGGGCATAAGACAAATAAATTAAAATGTAGAAATAGTTAAATATAAATAGAGGAAAGGGCAAATTGATCAATTGACTGACTGACCCTAAGCTCTTCTATTCGCTTATATATTATATATTTTATCATACACACGACTGATAAAAATATGAGATTAACTTCTCTTCACTGACAGTGGACAAGAAAATTCCCTCGTCAATTCATTTTTAGAAATACTTATATCTCTTAATTTAATTATTGTATTTTAACATTTAAAGATTAATGATTTTTCAGCTTCTCCTTTTTTTAAACACGTTTTACATATCTAATATTTAATTTTATTGAAAAGGCGTCCAAAAATTTATGATATTATTGACTTTGAGTAATATTTAAATAAATTGGAATACATATGATGATATATGGATCAAAGTTTGTTTTCAATTAATTTTTGTATTGTTGATTGAATGAACTAAGAAGAGAAAACACAGTCTGAAACAATGGAAACACCTATTCAAAAAAAATTAATGTTGCGAAGAAGACTTAATAGGTTGTGAATAATTTTTTATGAGATTAATTAGTCTAGAATTTTAAAAGACAAAAAAAGATATTGTCTCCAACTCTTCAATGGTGTTGATGGAGAACGAGGTGAAAATATCGAGGACAAGAAATAGGTGAAAGAATCCTTCTTATTTTGGGCAACCAAATGAGAATTCTAAGCAAACTCTTATAATTAATTTAGAGTCCAAGTTACAATATAATACTCTTTTTGTTATTTTTATTTAAATATTAATAATATGTGAATATATTAAGAGGAATAAGTATTTCTAAAAATGAATTGATGGTGTAATTTTCTTGTCCACTGTCAATTGAGAAAAGTTATTCTCTAAAGATATTTGACAAAAATGCTTACTTAAATTCATTTAAATAGTTATAGCTAATAATAGTCACGTTTCTATATCTCTCATCTCTCTTGCCACTCTACTATCTCACCCAACTCCCTCCCATCTCGTTCGTCATTCTCCTATCACGCTCACCTTCCTCTCATTTCGGTCGTCCAGATACATATGAATCACATTAGTATCTATTGTGTGTCTAGTGTGATTCACATGGGATTATAGACAAATGTCATTTGCCACTCTCCTATCTCGATTGTGAATCTGGTATCTCAATTATATGTGAATCAAACGAGATACATGTATATAATTTGTATCTAGTGTGATTCACATGTATCAAGAATACATAAGCGAATCTCGCTTGCCTCTATCCCTATTTCAGTGTATATGGTAGCAAAAAATATGTATTTAGGTGTATTCGACTTGAAATTTGGTATGCAATTATGCAATTATGTAGTTTTTTCTTTTAAAAGTTCAAATTACTTATCCAAATAATTTTTCAATTTCAAATCACCAGACCTTCGCAACAATTTGTGTGTGTGTGTCGTGGGTTAAAATTTAATTATTTTTTAGGGAGGCAGAACAAACCTAACTTATTTTACTTGCTTAAGTTTGAGCGGGGTTATTGAGCCGCTCATATATTAACTCAATCCATTAAATATTGAATTGATATATAGCCCAAATTATTTAATGACGAATCTTGTCAAAATAATTTTAAATAAATACTGTTTTATTATTTGATATATTATATATAGCTATAATAATATTTTTTTTATTAAATACTAAAAAATTATAAAAGAGCAAGTAAAACAATTAAGACTTAGTAAAATTGAATTATAACCCACGTTTTAACTTAAATAACTTGTGAATGAGTCAATAAATCACTCATTTATTAACTCAATTTATTTTAACTCACTTAAATTCAACCAACACACTCATTTAACCCCTCTAATTTTTTTCAATTTTGCGCCAAAACAAACGCCGGAAACAAAATTTTCATTTAATTATTTTCCCCAAATGCACAGCACCGCTAATTTAGTTCCCACTACAATTAGGTTTTACTTTTTTCTTTTGATTTGATGCCTCTTCTATGTTTTACCCAAAATCTAGTGAGTTCTTGCTTCCAATTTTTACTTCTACAAATGTCTAGTACTTCACACTTCCAATTAAGTTAAATTATGTTTTTCCTAATTTGCAGCTTTTTCACCGATTCTTTTTTTGTTTCTTTTCTTCTTTTGATACAAGATCCAAAGCTTTTGGACTAGAAAATGGTATGATTTTGTTTGGGGATGCTATGGTTATTTCGAGAAGCACAAAGCTAAAGTAGATATATTCTTTGATATGCAGTCTTAATTGAGAGTAACGACGAAGATGTAATCAAACGGAGACCCGCACAACAGAAAGAAGGAGGTGAATATAAATCATAGATACACTAAATTCTCTGTGTTTATAGATTTCTTGTGTTCTTCTGTTTCCTCTGCTACATTCTCTTCAAATTGGTCAAAAATTGATTTTGACTTTGTTTCATTTGTTATGCTTTTTGTTCTTCTCTGTTCTTTCAAGCTACATTTGAGCTTGAAAATACGAGGCTTATATTTCATAGAGTTCAACGTAAATTGAGCTTTAAATAAGCCTCAGTTTTGTGTGTGTGAGGGTGGCGGGTTGGTGGTAATGACTGTTGGTATCCAAAATTACGGGAGGCTGATGATGCTTGAAGCTTTTGATTAGATAAAAGGCTCAATCTTATTTGTTCGCAAGTTTATTTTTAATTTTTAATGGATTTCTTGCTAAAATTTACTTGAGAAACCTAGGATATGGTACGGCATATTGTGGATCCTTTCAAAAGAAATCATAAACCATATGACGAATGGAGTTTATGTTGATGTTTTATCGTCTATCTCCAACAACAACATACCTAGTGTAGTTTCATAACTGGTATTTGGGCAGAGTAGGATGTATGTAGACCTTATTCTTACCGGGGCTAAAGTGATTGTTTTCGATAGACTCTCAACTCAAAAGTGAACTTTTTGAAGTAATCTCAAAGAGTAACGCCATGAGCAATGTGCTGTCAAAAAAAAGAAATTAATTTGAAAACAAAGAATCTATCAACTGCACAAATATAGATGCCTCACTCGCTAGGCTGTATCAACTACATGATTTCATCTTTAACTTCAGATATTGATCCCTGTTTAAGAAAAACTTACATGTTTAAGGCTTTAAAGTTCTTTGCTATTCCAAGATACTATTTAAAATTATATATTTCTTGCAGCCATTTATGGTTGAGAGAATCCTAATGTGAGATGATGATACTTGAAAACAAGGAAATTAAGTTAATGAATAGTTAGTACATTACTATTAAGTATTACGAACAACTTAACATATAGGAAAAATGCTAAATGAGGAGTTCCTTTAGTTTTCGATCAAATAATTTTAGTTTTCAAAGTAAAATAGTAAATATTTTTTAATATGCATGTGTAATAATAGCCTATCATATTGACAATTGACCAATGTGTGTGGTACTAATAGTGCTAGACATGCTGATCGTTTTTCCTCTTTTGCTTTCACTCAATATCTCGTTTCAACTTTCACTTAAAGTAATGTTAAGAGCGTCGATATTTTGTATATTGCATTTTATAACCCTAACTACAAAATGTAATAATTTCCTTTAGGTACATTCTTATAATCATACAGTCAGTGGATCATATCCTTTGTTTGGGTTTTTCACGTTCACTACGTGGTGGCACCTTCAAGGTCATTTATCTCTATGTATCTCTTTCTCTTTACTCAAGTAAGTCATCTTATTCAATGATGGTTTGGTCTATTTTTTCTTAATTCTGGATAGGAAATTTTTTTAGTATTAGGGAAGTCTAGTAGCTCATAGAACTATCATTTTCTTTTTAATTAAGAGACTCTTTTTGGGACAAACAGAAAAGGAAAGTAAGACGTGTAAATTGTAACCAATGAAGTACCATTCTGATGAGGAAAATACTGGAAAGTTCAAAGTGCTCAAAAGTTCAATCAACTTTCCAGTTTTTATTTTTTCTTCTCTTTTATATTTCTATTTACTCCTTAATTTGATTATGATTTTCATACTTGGTAGGCGAACGGTTTCATGTATTTTCTACTTGTTTAGTAAAAGGTAATACTCCTATACAACAACTCTTATGCTTGCTTTAGCTGATATGATATATAATATTAGGATCATAGTTTAGTGAATCATAAGTCTAGATATGATTGAGATTAATTAATATATTTGTTGATTTTTTTTCGCATGCCAACCATGTGTATATGCTTGGGAATCTAAGACTTGGATATGCAAGAAAATGTTACTGTTAAGAGTTCTTAGTGATAAAATATCACTGTTTAGACTTGGTTGTTGCTTTAATTTGAGATATCTTTTTATCCATGATAATATTCAATACTCTCTTTATCATATTCTTTTGGGTTCATTCATTAGACAATTGTTATTGTTATTGTTAAAGTTGATATTACTCCATAGAATTGTCTTGGAGATGTCTTACTTTGTGAAGGTAAATCCAATTAGTACATTACCAGATGATGTGGTTTAGTCAGCATCTTAAGGACAATAACAGATCAAATTGAATGTCTATCTTTTTTCTTTTTTTTTTGGTTAAAATGGTTTGGCTCAAGGCCAATTTATTCAAAACAAATTATATACAAGCTATAGCTAAAAGCCCGGCCAAGAACAGGCCATGACTATCTTAACAGGAAATAAGCAAAAGGAAACAAAAGATAAAAGACAACAAATGAAAAAACTAAAGAAGTAACTAAAAGGAAAGTGAAAAGCCCATGGATGAACTCTCTGTAACATTCGACCCCAGAGATTCGCCCCTAAACTTGGACCTTGAGCTCATCTAAATTGTTGTTGCTCTGTTGGAAATCAACCAGATTGACCTCTGAAGGTACGAGCTGAGGGAGGTAAGTAGAATTCTTGGAGCCTAATCAATTTCTTACGGGATAAAATCGGTTTTTCTTCAGCTCCTGCTTATTGATGACATTTCTATCTCAAGATTTGGGTGATGCCACTATGAGACACCTACAATATTTCACCAGGAGAAGTGACATCTTACCCAAAAGAATCCTTTCTCAAACTTGAGGAGAAGTGATTTAAGATGAAACTGAAGTTTAAGATGACCGATAGTCCTTAACTATTGACGTAGGTTGTATTAGGAGTGCCTCATTTGTGATTTTCATTGTTTTTCTTCTAGCAGAATGAACCTCCAAGGAGACTGATACCACATATTAGAACAATCACAATAGAAGCCACAAACAAACTCTCCAAATGGAATTACGGTAAAATCATATATTTGTACTTCTTGCTGTGTTTTTGAGAATGCTTTACTATTTGGACTTGTGGCTTACTGAATTGTTGTTAATCAGTCCTAGACCTTGTGTTGGAAATAACCATTTAATTTGGTTCCCTTTCTCTTATCGCCTTGAATCGTATACTTGGATTTTGTTGTTTATGTGTGTTAATTAATTATCTTTTTAGGTTCTGATGGGAGTTCCTGAAAATTATTGTATTGAATAGTACAATAAAACACCCCCACCCCATCTCCTCCCTTGTCCCTACATTTATTTCACTTCTCATTTGTGTTCCAATTTTGTAAGATCTACCAATTTTCTCTTCATTTGTGCATATTTTCTTTGGATCTCAGTTCCAAAATGCGTGAAATCCTTCATATTTAAGGTGGACAATGTGGTAACCAAATTGGTGCTAAGTTCTGGGAAGTTTTTTGTGCCAAACACGACATTGATTCTACCGGTCGTTACAGAGGTGATTCTAATCTTCACTTGAGAGAATTAATGTGTATTACAATGAGGTTACCAATGGAAGATTTGTTCCTAGGGATGTTCTTATGGATTTGGAGCCTCGCACCATGAACAATATTAGATCTGGTCCTTATGGACAGATCTTCCATCCTGATAACTTTGTTTTTGGACAATCTGGTACTGGTAATAATTGGGCTAAGGTAAGTTACACCGAAGGTGCTAAATTGATTGATGTCGTTCTCGATCTTGTTCGTAAGGAAGCCTAAAACTTTGGCTGCCTTCAAGGTTTGTGTTTCTACCCGCATTTTCTTAAACATTTTGTTTTCATTTGGTGTTGTTGTTGTAGATCTGTACATTTTGAGGATTTATTTACGTTCTATGTGTTTGATTTCAGGATTTCAATTGTGCCATTCATTGGGTGGAGGAACAGGTTCTTGTATGGGAACACTTTTGATCTTAAAGATCAGAGAAGAATACTCGGACAAAATGATACTTACCTTCTCCGTTTTCCCTTCACCTAAGGTTTCTGACATTGTTGTTGAGCCTTATAATGCTACCTTGTCCTTGCATCAACTGGTTGAAAATGCCGATGAGTGCATTGTTCTTGGTAATGAGGTTCTATATTAGATCTTCTTCAGAACCCTAAATCTCATCACCCTAAGTTGTAAGTCATTTCAGCATCTTGATTGCGCTTTTCTTTGCGTCATCTGTTTGATTGTTGTTAGTTGAGCATGTTTGATAATTCTTGTTAGTTTTTTATTTAGCACTTTGAAGTTATGAATCATCTGATATATTTCTTATATAAAAGCTTTGTTAGTTAAAGAATCGGCTAACTGGTTCCTTTCTCTTAGAACACGTGACACCTAGAAATCCCCCCTTCTCTTCCACTCTTAGATCTTCTGAACCTCCATACTAATAGCCCATGGGCTATCCCAATCTTCATCAATCACCTTGATGATTATGGAGCTAGTCTTCATAATAAGAGGCATTAGCTGTTCTCTTATACAATAGGCCACTACTTCATGAATTGTCAACGCTTCAACACCTAAACTAGTAGTATTGGCAATGACCCCTACTATTTCTAATGCAGAATGCCAGAGAGCAAGGATCAGGGTTCTCTCTAGACGAGCCATCAGTATTGAACTTAAATTTTCCTTGGGGAGGAAGATGTCACTAGACTAATGTGCACCTCGTTGGTTTGTAGATTTCCAACTTTTGTATCATAAGTGGCCAAATGTTAGAGCTCTTTGTTATCCATGGGAACCTCGCTCTAGCCAAGAGATAAAGGTTCTGATTTATGTCATTAATAACTCTGTGATACCAACCCACCTCTCAAGACGTATTTTAGAAGAAAATATCGACAAAAGAATAAAGAGTTGAATTCTGGACAAACAACTATTACAGCAGTTGTCTAGCAGTTATCTAGCAGTTGTCTAGTAGTTATTATTCCTAATTTATAGTTTAAAGTGTCAGTCTTATCCTTTTATGTTCTCTATATATATGTAATCAGGATTAGTTATTGGTATTATGTAATTAAGAATCAAAACTAATATTTTCTGGAGTCTTGTCCTCTCCTTACAGACAACTTTATCTGTATAGTTGTGTTTAAGATACTTGCACAAACTATTTACAGTAAATCTACTTGCTTTGTTCTATTTTGTCGGATCTCTACTTCTGGTTACTATCAGTTTTGGTATCAGAGCAGATCGATCCAACATGGTCAATACCAGATTGTCTAATTCCAAAGAAGGCGTTCCCAATGTTGAATCTCTTGCCCAACAATTATCTGCCATAGCGTCAAAGTTAAATACGATTGACTCCCTGGCAGCAGATGTTGCAACATTGAAGGCCCAGACTAGTTGCACTCAACAAGAAGAATCCAGTCACAGAAATCGTAATAAAGGAAAGTCTATTTGGCAAGATGAGGAAGAAGAAATTGATAGTCCATCTTGGTCAAAAAATCCTCCCCGAAAGCCACACACAAAGATGGAATTCCCTAGATTTGAAGGAGGCGATCCTAGAGGATGGATTTTGAAAGCAGAAAAATATTTCTGCTACTATCAAACTCAAGAGAAACATAAAGTTGACATCGCAGCGATGTATTTGGAAGGGGATGCTCTGGATCTTTTCTCTTGGATAAATCGTGAGCGAACTTTGCTTTATTGGGAAGAACTTGTTAAAGCATTGCAAGAAAATTATGGTCCTGCAGAGTTTCAAAATCCCGACGAGCACCTTTGCAACATTCAGCAAACAGGTTCTGTACAGGAGTATCGTCAAGAATTTGCAAAGCGTTCATTTAGGGTTACAAATTGGCCAGATCACTATCTCTTAGGGGTGTTCCTGAATGGGTTGAAAGAGGAACTTAAATCTGATGTTAGGATTCACAAACCCAGAACAGTTTACAGGGCTATGAGTTTGGCACTTGAATTTGAAAATAAATTAGGCACAACTCGCAGTAATAAAGTGCCTAATTGGACCCCAAACAATAGACCCACGGTACAAAATCCATTGAATTCTTTTAGAAACACCCAGAACAATTCTTTATCTGCAAATCACAATGTACGCAGCAGTGTTTCATCCAACCCAGCCGCTTCACAACCTCTTCAAATGCGAACATGGGATACCAAGAGGAGAAATCTTATGGCACAAGGACTTTGCTTTCGTTGCCATGAGAAATTTGCACCCGGTCATAGATACAAATCTGCAAAATTATCTCTCATGGAGATTACTGGAGAAGGTCAATTGGAAGAGGTTAACGAGGTCAATGCAGTAATTGGTGATAATCCTCAAGAAAATGAACTTGCTGAAATTTCCTTCCATGCCATTTTGGGACAATCAGTGGGTGCTACAATGAAGCTTCAGGGTGAGATAAATGGTAAGAATGTTTTAATACTTGTGGATAGTGGTTCCACACATAATTTTGTGGCTGAATCCATTGTGGAGGAGCATAATATACCAGTAGAAATGGTTCCAACATTCGGTGTGCAAATAGGGAATGGGGATATCATTCGCTGCAATAAAGTTTGTCGGAATCTTCAAATTCAATTGTCGGGCTTTACTATCACTCAGGATTACTACCCTTTTGCAATTGGAGGGGCTGATTTGGTTTTTGGTATCAAATGGTTAGCTTCTCTCAATACGATTCAAGCTAACTGGAAGGATATGTTCATAATTTTCAATTGGCAAGGGAAGCGTTACAAATTGCAAGGCGTGAGATCGACAGATTCAACCACAGCTTCTCTCCAATCTTTTAACATGGTTTCAGAAGTTTCAAGTAATGCAATCCAAACCCTTTTACATGAATTCCAGTTTGTGTTTTTTGAACCAACATCTATTCCACCATTTAGAGCACATTCTCATGCTATTCCTCTGTTACCAAATTCTAAACCTCCAAACATCAGACCTTATCGTTACCCACATAGTCAAAAAACTGAAATTGAGAACCAAGTTACAGCTTTATTAGAATCTGGTTTCATTCGCCCTAGTTCAAGTCCCTTTGCTAGTCCGGTTTTGCTAGTTAAAAAGAAAGATAACTCTTGGCGGTTTTGTGTGGATTACCGTAGCCTAAACAAAATCACTGTCCCGGACAAATATCCAATTCCAAATATCGATGAGTTGTTAGATGAATTACATGAGGCCACAATTTTTTCTAAAATTGATCTTCGTTCCGGATACCATCAAATTCGTGTCCAACCTGATGATGTCTATAAAACTGCCTTTCGCACTCATTCAGGCCATTATGAGTTTCTCGTAATGCCTTTTGGACTCACTAATGCACCATCCACATTTCAGGGTGCCATGAATGATCTTTTCAGGCCATACCTTCGAAAATCTATCCTAGTGTTCTTTGATGATATTCTAATCTATAGTCCTGACACTCAAACACACCAACAACACCTTCAAACAGTCCTCCATCTTCTTTCTGTCAATTCCTTTTTTGCTAATCCAAAGAAATGTTTATTTGGTCAACACCAAGTTGGTTTTTTGGGTCATGTGATTTCAAGATAGAGTAGCAGTGGATTCAGAAAAAATATTTGCGATGTTAGAATGGCCTGTTCCGAAGAATGTCAAGGAACTTCGTGGTTTCTTAGGTCTCACAGGTTATTATAGGCGATTTGTTAAGAACTATGGGATCATTGCTCGTCCTTTAACAGAATTGACCAAGAAAAATGCTTTTACCTGGCATGCAAAAGTAGAGCAGGTTTTCCAAAATCTTAAGAGGATCTTGACATCAGTACTAGTGCTTGGTCTTCCAGATTTCACTCAACAGTTTACAGTTGAGTGTGATGCTTCATCTGAAGGAGTTGGGGCTATTTTACTGCAACACTATCATCCAGTAGCCTATTTCAGTAAGGGATTTTCCTTTTCTAGTTGCATTAAATATACTTATGATCGCGAATTGCTGGCTTTGGTCCTTGCATTGCAAAAATGGAAGCATTATCTTTTGGGTCGGCATTTTACTGTCACTACTGACCATTGTAGCCTAAAGTATCTCTTGCATCAGCGGGTGACTACTGCTAAACAACAACGTTTGTTGTTTAAATTATTGCCTTTTGATTTCACTATTGTCTATAAGTCAGGAAGTGAAAACAAAGGCGCTGATGCCTTATCTCGTCGCCCTCAACATGTTGATTTTTTATCTTTGGTGATGCCTATCCCATTAGAATTCAGTGATTTGACTGAAGTAATTGAAGCTGATCCATATACTAAGCAGTTTCGAGATCAACTCTCTTCTGATTCGTCGATTCATCCTGATTTCTCGTTGTCTGCTAACCATCTTTACTACAAATCTCGGCTGGTTATTCCTGATGATCCTGAACTCAAAGCCAAGATTTTAGCAGAGTCACATGATTCTCCAACAGGAGGGCACGGAGGTTACTTGAAAACTCTCAAAAGGGTATCTGCAAATTTTTTCTGGCCTTGTTTGAAGCATGATGTTAAGTCCTTTGTCCAGAATTGTTTGATATGCCAGCAACATAAATATGAAACATTAGCTCCAGCTGGTCTCTTACAACCTTTGCCCATTCCTAACAGAGTTTGGGAGGATATCTCCCTTGATTTCATTGTTAGGTTTCCTCCTTCTAATGGCTTTGATACTATTCTTGTGGTGGTTGACAGGTTTAGCAAATACAACCATTTTCTTGCTTTATCTCATCCCTTTACTGCTAAAACAGTGGCTGGGGTTTTCTGTAAGGAAATTGTCAAGTTGCATGATTTACCGCGCTCCATTCTTTCAGATCGTGATGTTGTCTTCACAAGTGCTTTTTGGCAGGAACTTTTTCGCCTTAGTCGCACTCGTCTCCGTATGGATACTTCCTATCATCCCCAATCTGACGGTCAAACGGAAGTGGTCAATCGCTGCCTTGAAACTTACTTACGTTGTTTTGCTCATGACATGCCCAAATCATGGCTTCAATATCTATCTTGGGCTGAATATTCTTTCAACAGTGGATACCATTCTTCAGCCAATATGACCCCTTTCCAGATTGTGTATGGGAGAGAACCACCACTCTTGCATCCCTTTGTTCATGGAGAAACTAAAATTGCTGAACTTGAACAGCAGCTCGTGGAACGAGATCAAATGTTAGAGGTACTACGTTCCAATCTCATGAAGGCTCAATCCAGAATGAAGTCTCAAGCTGATTCCAAGCGACGTGACTTGTCTTTTAATGTGGGTGATGTTGTTTTCCTTCGTTTGCGACCTTATCGACAGAAGAGTTTAGCCAAACGTCTTAATGAGAAGCTTTCACCTCGATATTTTGGACCATACAAAATTGTTCGTCAAGTTGGTCCTGTTTCTTATGAATTGCAGCTTCCTGAAACATCTAAGGTACATCCTATTTTTCATGTCTCGCTGCTTCGTCCTGCTCGTGGTTGTTCTGATATTGCTTCTCCTCCACCCTTACCACTATCGAGTGAATTGGAATTTATGGTGGAACCTGAAAAAGTTTTATCGCATCTTTGGGTGAAAGAGTCAGGAGTGCCAACTCTGGAATTACTTATTCAATGGCGTCACCGTCCTGTTGAAGAGGCTAGTTGGGAAGACTATGACTTGCTTGCTGTTCAATTTCCTCTGTTCTGCCTTGAGGACAAGGCATCTTTTCAGGGGGGATGCACTGATACCAACCCACCTCTCAAGACGTATTTTAGAAGAAAATATCGACAAAAGAATAAAGAGTTGAATTCTGGACAAACAACTGCTACAGCAGTTGTCTAGCAGTTATCTAGCAGTTGTCTAGTAGTTATTATTCCTAATTTATAGTTTAAAGTGTCAGTCTTATCCTTTTATGTTCTCTATATATATGTAATCAGGATTAGTTATTGGTATTATGTAATTAAGAATCAAAACTAATATTTTCTGGAGTCTTGCCCTCTCCATACGGACAACTTTATCTGTATAGTTGTGTTTAAGATACTTGCACCAACTATTTACAGTAAATCTACTTGCTTTGTTCTATTTTGTCGGATCTCTACTTCTGGTTACTATCACTCTGTTTCTTGATATTGAACCTTCTTGGAAAATGATATTTCTTTTCTTCCATAGATGCCATATAGTGATGGCTGGGGCAGCCAGATATAGTGGCTTCAGTTAATTAGGAGAATAGTTAGCTTTCCACAATTGTATTGCAACTTGATTTAACTAAATAAATGGGCCCTTAAGCTGCGGCATCAAAGTGTGTTCAGATGCTCTTAGCATAATCTCTTGTTAAGAACAAATGTAGCATAGTTTCTTATTGATAGATCTCACAACACCTACACCATTCTTGGTTAACAGATTCTTGCTTAACACATCGCCCAAGGAAAAAGACCTTGTGAGACCACTGATAAAATCCATCACACACCAAAAGTCCAAACTAGTGTGAAAGAGTTGACAGTACTCATCGACAAGAATTATACAACGCAAGACCATGATCTGCTAGCAAGCTTGCTTTGAAGAACCCAACTAAGAGACTTATTATACTGCATATAGAATCAGAGGTGATAGAGTTCTTGAATATGAATTACCGGTGAAAGGTTAAGAAATGGAGAGCTATGTACATTCTGTCATTGGTATAGAAAGTTACATGAATGGAGGATAGTTCAACATTTTCATGAACTATATATGCAGCTTAGTCAATATTACATGAACTAGTGATGAAAGTAAAAGGAATGAAGCTCTATTGTGTGTAAGTTTGAAATCAGAACCCTCCTAACTAGTAGCCTCAAAACCACCAAAGTTTTTATCATCCAACTAAAGATATGTGAATCGAATCACCTGAAGTCAAACTATGTTGCAACAAGTCCAAAAAGACACTAGTTATACATAATTTAAGAATTATATGCACAGATGTTATCAAACCCCATATACTGCCCTTCCTTGATCTTTCTAATCGTGCCATATAAAGACAAAATAGCTATACCATTTTTGCATAACACATCGCCCACTGATAATTTTCTCTTTCATACCATCCACAAATAGAAAGATAATTTATAAGATAGACTAGTAACACACATTTTACTAAAAACCCATTGTTGCTCCTCTTTCTTGTTGAAGGATTAAGAATGATATTTTTCATTTGTTGAATTATGAGTAATTTTAAGTAGATTTATTTAGTGAATTAATTATTATCAAGATGTTGGGTCCTAGTCTTGAACTACATTAAGTAGTTTTATTGCAGCAAATGCTTGGTAGGCTTCTAGATTTTTTTACTTGTATGGTAGACTTCATATAGAATTAAGGCTTTGAAAGTTTATATTTGTTTGAATTTTTTAGTTGAATACCTCTGAACTAGTAGTCGTTATTGGGGCTGACAAAAGATCTACAATAAATAAATGGACGAAATTGTGTTAATGTAGTAGGTGAGGTTTTGTTAATACGAACTCCAACATGATGCATGACTCTTTATAAATCTAGGCAATGCATGCAACATTGTCTGTAATCATTTTATTTTGTCCAATTGTCGGGGATTAGTTAAATTGTACATTAAATGGTCATATGTTCTAATACTTCACATGTTAGATGTTGAGTTAATACAGTTCTCAAATATTAGCATTTTGATAATTCATGTGTAGTAGGTTGTGCGAGGATAATGATGTGTCCATTGCTTTCCAAAATTTAAAAAAAGTTCTTGCCAGGTACATAGTTTTGCTCACCCAAGATGACCTTCATATTAGTATGCTTGCATTTTTATTTAGTGCTTATAAAATTGATCATTACAACATATTGAATACATAGATTGTGTTACAGATTCTATCTTTTTTACCTCAATATGAAAACACTTTAAATTAAATCATAATTTTGTTCTCTTTTTTTTCCCCACAAGTATAAGAGGTGAGAATTGAATCAAGACTACTTGAAAGCTAAATGTCGCCACATTTTTGGGACTTGGGAAGAAATCTCCACGTATTTGTCTTAGTTAGGGAGTAATATTTAGTAATCAAGTATTGGACATATTTACTTTTATTAAGGAGCTTGAAATGAGATATTGTCTAGTATAGTTTTAGTTGATCTTTACTGTATGATCATGGGTGTTTCATTATTCTATTTTCAATTTATGCAATTTTAAATTCAAATATAATATCAATATGAAATAATTAAATGTTTTTAATTAGTGGCAAAAGATTTTAACTTTTTGTGATTACTATATCAAACTTTTCAAGACATTTTCATCACAAATTAAATTAGTTTGGCATAAATTGAACACATTTAGTGACAATATATTTGTTCTAGTACCCTCCTTATCGAATATGAATTAATTTTATAGTTTATGACAATTGTAATTATTACTAATAATATGACGATTTATAGTGACAATTTTATGTTGTCAATAAAAATCATACTTTTAGTGACAAGATGATATATTTAACTACAAAATTGTTTATCTTCAGTAGAGTGATAAATTTGTCGCTAATTTATATATTTAAGGACGAAATACTTTTTTGTTTATAAAAGGAAGTCATTAGTGATGAAATTTCTTTTGCTCTACTACGAAATATATAGAACTTTAGAGACAATTGGTATCGTCACTAATTGAACTAAATAATTAGTGACCAAATAGTTTTGTCGGTGTTAATAACGTTTTTAGTGACAAAATTATACTATCAACTACAAAAAAACACACTTTTTATGACAATCAAATTCGTCACAAATGCTATGCATTTTGTGACGATTTTTTTGTTTTGTAGTTAATGGAACTTCTTTGTTGTGGCTGGTGAATGTTTTTTCATAGCAGCAGGCTAAGCCAATGGCTTTGCTCCTAGGGTTCGTGACCATATCATATTAGTCTTCTTCTAAAAAAGACACAACCCATGTTTTGGAAAACAACGTTTTAAATTCTAAAAATTCATAAACTTACAAAGAAAAAATCATCTTCAAGGAAGAACACTACTCATACTCAATAAGGGACCTGATGTAGTACTGAAGGTCTTTTGTTGTATTTTGAGCTTTGTGTCTTGTATTCTTATGTTGTAAATCTACTCTTGAGTTATAAAGGATAGTAGATCAGTTGCTTGTCTAAGTCTTTAGTTTGAATCGTATTAAATAGAGTTTATTCATATCATCTATGTTTTAGTCAAGCCTTTTTACATCATTGTTTTGATGTTCTCTTGGGTAAAGTTATCTAGGAGTGTCAACTAGAGTTAGTTGATGTGTGGGTGCGGTAGAGTTGCTTCTCGTTTATGCTCCTATCTTTGAGATCTGAGTAGGTGGCTAGAGTTAGTCTTGTGGGGTTCTTGAAGTCTAGATCAAATAGAGTTAGTTGGTTTAGTGGGCAATAGAGCTATTGCTTAGTTTCCTTTATAGTAGAGCTTCTACAGTAAGGGGGAAGGGATTAATGAAATTTAATTCCCAGGTTACAAGAATTTGTAATATGAAGTTGTGCTCCGTTTTGAGTGAAATGGAGTTTGAGTTGAAACCCCGTGAGTACAAGCCATGGTTTTCACCTCCCTTGAGCAAGGGAATTTCCACGTAAAATCCTTGTGCTTGATTTACTTTGAGTTGATTATTTTTCGCACTATTATTCTGTCAAGGGACCTGATCCAGCGATCACTAGCGGACACTTGCATTCTAACAAAACCCATAGCCCAAAATTCGAAGCAAGATTTTCACGCAAAAGATTAGACAATAATTATCAAGAATAAAGGAAAGAGAGAGCATCAAATAAACACAAAAAAACCCTAAGACTTAGTATCAGTCGGTAGTCGAGCTTCTAGTCAAAATAAGAGTACAATGATAATACAAATATACAAAATTGTCTGTGAAAACAAAATAAAGACTAGTCCTAGTCAAAACAAAGGGAGATAGGCAACTCCAAAGGTCAGGAGTACCCCAGTCTTCGAATCACAAGAGTCGCTCCGTACGAGATAAATCAGCAGTAAGAACTCAAACTATGATTTGTAAGGTGCAAAGCTGTAGTATGACTACAAACAAGTGGCACTCAGCAGTCCTCGGTCGTCTGAGCTCCAAAGATAAGGTAAGCATAAATAACAAGTAAGAAAGGAGCATATATCACAAGTAGTTAAGGAAAGAATAAAGAAGAACTCGCAATCAAAGACAAGGAGATACATGGGAAAAAAAGGATAAAATAAACATGTAAATGAGGCAAGGGGACATACCATGAGGCGCTAATCCAGAAACTTATTCACTAAAAAGTTCTACTACAAAATACAAGAGAATGAGTTCCAACGTAATGCATGTCATCACCAGCATCAAAACAATAACATTCAAACCACACAAGGTATAAAACCACAAAGACCATACTCTAGAGTACATAAACTAACATGGAATCCAGGTGGTCCTCGACCAAGGCCTCAGGCCTAAAAATACTCCAACCAACTAAACAACAATAACAAAAAAAGAACATCTCTTTTCAGGCAACGAAGGAAATTATGAGGAATCAAACACTCAAAAGAGTAATTCAAGAATCTCCACATCTACCTGAAGATACCACCAAAAGGTACAAAGCACAACCAAGGTGAACGATCCAAAGTTTAACCATGAGATATGGATAACATCATATTTACAAGTCTAATCAAGGTGAGTTCCTACAATACCCAAGCAACCCCACAGTCCCTGCACTAGCGAAGGGTACCAAACCATAGAAATTAATACTCACAAGAAGCTACTATAATCATCAAAGTTGTTTCTAAGGTAATTACCACACCAACTACTATAAAGCAACAAACATCAACAGGAAAGAGATTAACAATGCTAATCTAAGACACAATCTAAAAAAAGTAGACTGTAGTCTACCTCGGAGTCGATCACACGCACTTCAAAAAAGTTTCACTAGAGCTTTCCTTTCCCGAAATGTGTATGATCATTGCCACTGTATCATAATGTCGATCTAAATGTCAATACTTATGTTTAGACACCAAGATCAACTCAGGATCAAAAATCGAATCAAAACAAAAATGTGGAAATCTAAAATTGATTCAGTCAAAAGGCCCAAAACATCTCAAGGAACTTGTGCCCCACAATCCGAGTTTGGAAACGGGCTTAAACAACCCATGCAATGAAATTCACAAGACGAAATCACCATTAAATAGTTTGGGCAGCTCTTCCGGGTCATAAATTACCTCTTCTCGATGCTCCTCGCATTTTCCCAATCACTAGCTATAATACATAGTCACACTATAATCCAAACCATCGCAACTGAAATCTCCCAATTTGGAGCTTCCTAGCTCGCACAATCGAGTTTGCAAAATTAGAACAAAAGCTGAAATTCAAGAGACATATATTGCTCATATACCAATAGGAAGAAATTCAAGCCATATTCTTTAGTGATGCAATAAATCTATCCCATGATTATAGTTACATTTTTTTTGTGCTACTTTAAGAAAGAAGTTATATTTATACAACTTAAATGATCACTTTTCAAAATAGTAAGTTTGTTTCACGAACAATTGTATCTATTCAACATCAGACCTCTATGTATTACAAATTAATAACACGGGGGCTAGATGATTTTCATAATCCAATCTAAAAGGGTTGAATCAATAGAAGTGGCAAAATAAATGCATGCTGATTGCTGCTCTTATACATTAGAGTAGGGTAAAAGAATAAAGCTAGAAAATATAGTTTAAAGAGGCGTTTGCTGGGATAGGAGGGTGACTTGGAAGCGGCAAAGAGGGCAAGAGTTGTGAAGGGAAAGCCAGTTGATAAGACAATGTGAATGGAAAACATGACCACACGCAACTTGTTTGGCACCAACACTACTACTTGATTCGAAACATTGCATGCAGACAGTACAAACATCATCAACTGCTTCAATTGTAGCCATTTCACCAACAATTTGGGTGATTGAAACATCCACTAACGTTTCTTTCCTGTGGTTGCTGCTATTGTTAACGACGACACAAGTTTCATCAGGCTCTGGCATCGTCAGAGCCATGTCCAGGTCGAAGACTAGTTCATCCAACGCCATCGACATTTTTCTTGTGTAAACTGGTACTAGTATACTACTCCTATTTGAATAGCTCGTACATCAATATATATAAGCATATCACGCGGTTTCCTCAATATGGTTGGTGGGCTTCGACGATGCAACCTATCTTTCTTTTTCCTTTTGGACATACTATATTATATCCTCTGTATATATTCAACATAAACCACAACAATATATTTATTTATTAAATACTTTTTTTTGTTTCACTTTTGACTTCACACAAACATCAAAATAAAAATATCCTTTTTTTCGATAAATGTTAAAATAAGTGTAGAATATACTTAAATGATTTTTAATCTTAAATATGTTACTTGAAAAGTTATTTATGCGGATACGACAGTATACATAATTGTATCTCCTTTGACCACTTTTAAAGCAAGTGGCCGCCGCCTATAAAGATTTTTATTGTAAAATATCAAACTCAGTAATATAGATTCAAACTTGGCCCTGTAGTGCCGCTACCTTTTTCCTTTCTTTTTGTCCATCTGCTTAGGGGTGGGTGGAAAGGTAGTGATCAATAAGAGTGTTGGTTACGAAAATGTTTTCCTAGAAAACAAGTAGATTTTGGATTTATTTTTTCATGTTTGGTTGGTGAGTAAAAATATATTTTGAAAAAGATTTTTGTGTGTTTCATTTATGAATAAAAATACTTTTAAGAAAATATCTTTTATTTTTACTATAGAGTAGAAAATAATTTTTGAATTAAAACTGAAACTATGTTTTAAAAATAAACTTAATATTTTTGGGGGGAGGGTGGGGCTGGCAGGGGGAGGGGGGGAGTAGGAGTGAAATGGAGTAAAAAAATAAAAAAATTGAAATTGAAAATATTTTTAAAGACAAATTTAATTTTTTTTTGGAGGGGGGGGGGGGGTTCGTGGGTAGGGGGTGGGGGTGGAGTGGAAAAATAAAATAAAATAAAATTAAAAATATTTTTTAAAAGACAAACTTAATTTGTTTTTTGGAGAGGGTGGAGGGCAGATGGGGGGGGGGGGGGGGGTTGCGAGTTGGGGTGAAAAAATAAAAATTTGAAATTGAAAATATTTTTTTAAAACAAACTTTAATTTTTTTTCAAGGGGTGGGGGGGTGGGGGTGGGCTGGTGGGGGAGTGTGATGAAAAATAAGAATTTGAATTAGAAAATATATTTTAGAAACAAACTTTAATTTTTTTATTTGGGGGGGGGGGGAGTAGGGGTGGGATGAAAATAAAAATTTTAAATTGGAAATATTTTTAATACAAACTTAAATAATTTTTTTGTGTGGGGGGGGGGGGTAGTAGGGGGCTGGCGGGGGAGGTGGGTAAGGGGCAGGGGTAGAGGGTGAGGGTGGGGTAAAAAAATTAAAAATTAAAATTGAATGCTTTAAAATTATTTTTTGTCAACAAAAAAAATTGTAATTTGAAGTTGGAGGAGAGTTTTGGAAAATGTTTTTCCTTAATTTTGAAGGGAAGGGAAGTCATTTTCCTTAAATTTGAGGAAAATGAGTTGATTTGGAAAATATTTTTCAAAACATTTTATCCAACCAAACATGAGAAAATTGAAAAACATTTTCCAAAAAATATTTTCCTTCATATCAAACACACCCTAAGTCGATTCAACAATCAAATATTGGCTTTATTAGAAAGTGTAAACAATCAAATATTGGCTTTATTAGAAAATCTTACACACTACATTAATATTAATTATTTGATTAAGTTATCCGTTTTCTGGTTTTATAATTTAATCCAATTAACTATATATATATATATATATATATATTAGTATTAAATGACTTAGTCAATTTCATTTTTAATTTCTTTCTTTGTTGACTAAGCTAACACATGATAGTTTGGACTTTTATAACAGACAGCCTTGATTATATGGTAGTTGGTGCCACAAAGATAGTCATCACATGGGGATCGTGTGATTAATATATATATATTTTTAGATGATCTTTGTTTTAATAGAATATTACATAGTTGTACTGTTATAACTCTTATTTGTAACATAAATAATTGTCATTTGTCTCCATTTGGGTTAAAAAGTTAAAAGTCAACTTTCATGCAAGTTGGGAAGCAGCTTTTGCCAAGATATTGTTGTTTAACAATAACTTTGAGGCAACAAAGTCGCAAGCTTTTGTCAAGTGGAGCCCTTTAATAAATTATTGTATATTTGTGGGTGTAAATTTCATATATGACATATATTATAGTACTATTTTCAAGCTATAGCAGTAAATTTAGACTTTCAAGTTATAACATTAAAAATTTCAGGTTATAACAAATTCACAAATGAAAGAAATGTTTTTATTAATTCAAAAAAAAGTTAAAAAAGAAAAAGAAAAGATAAACGAAAATTTAAAAAAAAAAAGGAATTAGAGATAATAAAGTAAAAAACTGAAAGTGTGGCCTGTAATTTAATTTGAATTTATTGTAGATAATTAATGATTAGCATGAAATAAGGGATTCAAACAAATTAACAATATTTTTTATCCTTAATTCACTCAAAATCAGTTAAGATAAACTAAAAAATCAGATCATATCATTTTTTTTGTAGATAATTAATAAATAGCACGAATTAAGGGATTTAAACTAATTAAGATTATTTAGTATCCTTAATTCACTCAAATCAGTTAAAATCAAATAAAAATTCAGATTTTATTTTCTTCTTTTTTCAACTTTTCTCTCTCTTCAATTTGCAACAAAAAAAATTCAACGTTTCTCTCTTCAATTTTCAACATAAAAAAATCCCACATTCGAGTAAGAAGTTTTTTTCATCTTTGAAAATTCTTGATTTTGTTGTGATGGACAACTACGTATTAGTTTTAATCAAACATGGTAAAAGATGGGATCCTTCGGGTTAGTATTTATTATTGTTTAACGTTTGTTTTAGAATAATAGCGAAATGAAACAAAAATTATCAAATTGTCGATTAATTGAAGGTGAAGTCATATTTTGTTAACTGTTGATATCATATTATGGTATGTTTTGGGGCTAATAACGGAGATTTTGAAGCGATTGTTTGCGTGGATAAAGGAATAAGTTTTTTTTATCACAAACTTGTACTTTATTTGACGCTATTCAAGGCACAATAAGACTATCCACATACAACATTTTTGAAATATTTTATGTTGTCAATTATCATGATTTATAGTATTTTTATGATAGATTTACTTAAAGAATGAGTGGAAATTTTTGTATTTTTTTTCAAAACATATTTTATGTTGTCAATTATCATGATTTATAATATTTTTACGCATTTTTTAAATATAAAAAACCCAAAAAAAATAAGACAAATAAATTAAAATGGACCCAATATATGTTATTTTTGTTGTCTCAATTTATGTCACACAAATAAAATTTGGAGAGTCATCCAAATTTTAATTTTTTTAAAAAAAATGTTTTAAGTTATTAATTATTGTGATTTATAATATTTTGATGTAACTTTCAAATAACCAACATTACTGGTCACTTTGTCCTAATTTATGTGATATGGATAAAATTACAAAATTAACCCTTTTAAAATGTCTTTCAGATATTTTATGTTGTTAATTATTATTATTTATAATACTTTTTTGGTAATTTTAAAATGATATGTGTTATTTTTTCTGTCCTAATATATGTGAGCCTGAAAGAATTCTAAGAGTGAACCTATTTTATTATATAGCTTTTAAATATTTTAAATTGGTAATTATTGTAATTTTTAATGCTTTTTAAGTCATTTGTAAATGATATATGTTGCTTCCTTTGTCCCATTTTATATAGTATAAATAAAATTCCCGAAACCAACTAAGTTTTTAATATATTTTTAAAAATATTTGAAATTATTAATTATTGCGATTTATAATATTTTAAAAAAAGTACAAAACTTGTATCAGCCTAAAAAATGACCACGATAATTCGAAGCCTACAGAAAGCAATATGGTTGTACGTAATTTTTAAATACTTAATATATATTACTCCACTTGTCTGAATATATGTAGCATTGATAAAATTTCAAGATTCAATCAAATGTTGTTAATTGTTAACATTTATAATACATTTTACGTAGTTTTCAATAATTTCACATTAAACAATACATATTACTACTTTTCTCTCATTTTATGTGACATTGATAGATTAATTTTAAGAATCAGTCAATTTATTTTTTCTGTTTTTTTAATAAATATTTTAAGTGGTCAAAATCACGATTTATTGTATTTTATACATAATTTTTAACGATAGATTAATTTCAAGAATTAATCGAATTTTTTTATATGTATTTATTTTTGAAATATTTTATGTTGTCAATTATCATGATTTATAGTATTTTTACGCAATTTTTAAATATAAAAAAAAATTAAGACAAATAAATTAAAATGGACGCAATATATATTATTTTTGTTGTCTCAATTTATGTGACACAAATGAAATTTGAAGAGTCATCCAAATTTGCATTTTTAAAAAAAATGTTCTAAGTTATTAATTATTGTGATTTATAATATTTTTATGTAACTTTCAAATAACTTACATTGCTGGTCACTTTGTCCTAATTTATGTGATATGGATAAACTTACAAAATTAACCCTTTTAAAATGTCTTTCAGATATTTTAAGTTGTTAATTATTATTATTTATAATACTTTTTTGGTAATTTTGAAATGATATATGTTATTTTTTCTGTCCCAATATATGTGACCCAGATAGAATTTTGAGAGTCAACCTATTTATTATATATCTTTTAAATATTAAATATTTTAAGTCAGTTGTAAATGATTTATTATATTATATTATTATATATTATATTTATTTCTACTATATAATAAAAGGGGTTTTATTATGATATTATATATTATATAAACTCCCTTTTATTATATAGTAGAAAAATAAATATACATTATATATATTATATAGTAGAAAAAATGATTTATTATATTATATATTATATAGGGAGTTTATGATGGGACACATAGAATGTCTCATGATAAACTCCCTCTTATATAATAGTAGAATTACAATTACAAAATTAACCCTTT